AACTATTCCCTTCTAACTCATCCTACCAAAAGGAAGCTGCATTCCCACTTACACTGTCTGGGAAGTATCCAATACTTGAGTGTCTCCAAAACTTTGTACTGGCTCCACCACTCTAGCACACCTGCCATTATAAAGCAGCTGCTATCCTGACATCTGCTTCCTCTACTATATCTTGTGTTCTGTCTTATCCTGCAGGGATTTGGGGAAAACTTGTGACAGGAGAAAAGCACACTAGTATGGGCTTCTAGCCAATCTTTATTTCACAATGCTATTCAGCTGTCCTCCTTAAAAAATAAAAAAGCAACAACTGCTGTCATGACCTGTTATTACAACTGATTGTCATGAACATGTAGATTGATTTTGGGCCTTCTGTATCAAAAGAGAACCAAACAATTATTTTTTTCTTTAGTTGCCCTTTCTTGCTACCAGTGTTCTGTTACTGGGGTGGTGCCAGAATCCTGTAGGGAGAATCTGTTACCACCTCTTGTTTGCTGCTGATGCCTTTCGTCTACCTTTCTCAGTTCACAGATGAGGAGTTCTTCTCTCAAGAAGAGTCCTCAGAACTTTGACTAGTGTGATTTCTTCTGATTTAAGCATTACTGTGTAGCATACAGTAGTGCATAGTATGCATTTGATTTGTCTTTAGGCAAATATACCATACAGAGAACCACCAGTCCTTGAGCTGAGTTGAAGCAACGTTTTTCTAAATCACATTCTACATTCCAAGTGTTTAGAGTGAGTGCTCCCACAAAGGGGGAGAATATTGTTCTGTAAAGGCGCTTTTGCAAATTATACTACGTGAAAAGATTTATGAGTCTACTTCTACTTTCCAGAAAATGGCACTTGTCCTTTACAAGTGTTTATACTTCTAAAGATCAGATGTGGTGGGCTTACTTCTCATATGTTAGTTGGTTTGTGACATTATATGAATTGTGACTTTGGGCTATACAATGCTAGCATTTCCTTTGCGTTTTGCAGAATGATGTTATAATGGATCTATAAATTACAGTTTGGAAGAAAATTTGGAGTGACATGTCTCTGTGGAATGGGGAGGTTTTATCCAGCATTTATTAAATTATAATCTGTAAATGAATTTTTAACATACTTCTGGCACCTCTCGTGACCTGTTTCATTTCTTCCTCTGCTTCCAGGTTAGCTGTACGTAGGTATTACGCAAATAAGTAATCTTTCCCCCCACCTTCCCTTTGTGCTCTTCTAACGGGTATTCCATTTTCTAGGAATCAGTGCACTGTTTTTGCTGTGTATATATTGTTTATTAAGAACACAGCCCAGACAGAGGCTTAAGCATTGCATACTGGTTGACCTCCACTTGGCACATGTCTGTTGCTGGCCTTAGATCTCTTATAATTTGGTGCTGCTCAGCTGCACTGTCGTAAGAACAGTTCATGCTTAATTCTTTGCAGATTGCCTTTCAGCGGGAGATAATGCCTGTCTAGAAAGGTGTTTATGGCCGACTTGATTGTCCAGCACTGGCCATGTGAAAGCACCATGAAAGCAGATGGAATATTTGATGGTACAAGATATTTGGATACCAGACTGGGTATGATGTGCCTGTTCAGGCTGATCTGTGGGGAGCTGTGCAGTAAGCTTTATATCTTGAAGCTTACACGAAACGTTATCTAAAGCCTACCTCTGAGCTCAGGCTTGGAACCAAATAGTTGTAGATGTGAAGAAGTGCGGGCTACGGTACTGTTTTGAGCTGCTTCTCAAACAAGAATGTTAGACCTGTCTTTCACAACTTCATGTGGAGCTGGATGATTGTGAATGGGCAATACTTGTTTTCAAAGTGATTGGTTTGAAATTGTGCTCTGCTTCCGCCTTTCCATTATTCTCAACTTTTTCATTCATCCAAAAGGCACCTCGATTGCTTTCTATATATTATTACCTGGGCAAGGCATTAGCAATTGTTTCATCAGGCCTGTAGAAAGCTAGGTTCGTTATGGCCAAAATTACTTTTCAGTGGTTTTTTTTTTTTTGGTCTGCACCTCTCATTTTGATGACAGAAATTAAAAATGCACAATTTCTCTCTCCCTGATTGGAGAGAACTGCTTGTGTGTGTTTGGTGTGGGGTTTTTTGTTTGTTTTGGTTTGGCTTTTTTGTTGAATGCTCTTGGTAGCACTTCAGAGTCTTTCTACTGGAGGCCTACACTGACCATGTTTGAGGAGTTAACTTTGAAGTGTTTTCTATTTTTCTCTTGCCTTTCCAATGGCTGTTGTCTTTAGACAAAAGATCTATGGATTTTGACCCTGAATCTGAAATAACCCAAATCTCAATGATAGTAGAAAATTTGTACTATCTTTCATTATTAGATGTTCAAAAGGGAGCTGGCTATTGGGTCACTGCTATTAGTCTTTTTCCTCCTTTGTTTTCTACATAATTGTATAACTTTTCAGTAACAGAAATTCTTATTGTAGCTGAATATATGCTTCAGCTCAAAAAGATGACATGCTATCTATTCTACTAGTCATAGACTGCCTACTGTTTCTTAAGTCCCTGAGAATTGCTTGTCATACCTGAAAATCTAGGATTCTCATCCTACTACATGATGCTACTGGACAGCTTTCTACTTATTAATTCTCTTACCATTGGTCTTCTGCTCCAGTTCCTGACTAGATCTAATGCTGTTGTCCATTCAGGAGTCTCTGGCAATCTATTCCGTTCACTGAACTGATAGATTCTTCAGCAGTCAAGATTAAAAAGCGAGGGTATTAGTGATTTGTTTTATTCTATCCTGCTGTGGAGAGCAGTGGGATGTTTTCCAGATTCAGAGTAGATGAACAGTGACTGAACTGTTTAAAATTGATTAATGAGTGTGGTTTTCAGTATTTTATAAAAAGGCTAGTAATTCATTAGAGTATCAGGCACTGACAGTTTTCAGGTGATACTGTTCTAAACTGATATATTCTAAATCTGACCGCTTCTCTCTTCAGATGAGTGGTTTGAGGTTTTTTAGGTGCCCTACAATTCTGTAAATATGGTAAAAAAAAATAGAAGCTTTACCCATCAGGAGTGGTAACAGTCTTAAAATAGCAGCTGGGCTGAGTGAACAATTTGCACATTCATACATCAAATAAGTATGCACCTGCAAAGTACTGTGTTCCCTCTCCTTCCTGAGTGCCGCCTCTTTGTGAGCTGGCAGGAAATGGAAAATGATGAAAATCTTGCTCTCCAAATACTTCACCTTCTAATTTAGTTCAGGTCCCCACTGGATTTGCTGGAGTGGAGCCAGAAGGAAGAGTGCTGTCATCACATACACACACTAATGATCCAAATAAAGCCAGCACCCTACTGGTGTGGCTGAATGTGGCTTTTTTTTTGTGTGTCTAATAAGTTTTAAAAGAAAGAAGGATTCAGAAATGGTTTTGACTACTATCTTCTGTTTGTTTTAGACATAGGACTTGATTTTAATACTGAGGTGCCTTCATGCTTTTGAATAGAGTAAGCATTCAGGCATTTTTGAATGTAGCTATGAGGCTGCTGTTTCAGAGCATTTTAGAATTTAAATGCCTCAAGTAATTTTTTGAAATGCAGACTTTTTTCTGTGTGATGTCGTTGATCAGTAGGTACAAGCTTTTGGAGTCAAAATTAGAATCCACACTTAAGAAGTCTCTCGAAATAAAAGAAGAAAAAATTGCTGCTTTGGAGGCTCGTTTAGAAGAATCGACAAATTTAAACCAGCAACTCCGTCAGGAACTTAAAACAGTAAGGAGATCAACATTTTTACTATAAGATTAAATTACTCCTGTACCAGCTATTGTTATTTCTACACTTGACCTTTGTGTAAGACAGCAAAAGATGGGCATTGTTGAGGTGATGTAAAGCAGGACAAAGGTATGACTGCTTTTTAAGACTACAAGAATACGGGTCCAGTGTTGGAATCACATGAAAAATTGCTGATGAGTTGATTCATTGGTCGTTGAATATGCCAGATGGATAAATAATCTGAAGTTGATTTGATTTAGGATGCCAAAAATAGTTATGTCTTAAGTTATATTTTCTGTTCCTTGAACACCCTCAGTGGACTGATTAAAAAAAACCACAAATACAATCTCCTTGGTTATTTAGTTGTATAGTAAAGTTAAATATCTTTAAGTTGGGGGATACAGTTGAAAGCACTGAAATACAATAGAAAATAGAGGTCTCTTTCTATTAGACAAGTATGACTCTTGATCCCAAGTGTTTATTATGTTTATCAGTATCCATAAATTACGTGTACATCATCTCCCTAAACAGACAGAAAAAGCAAATTACAAATGCAGTAACACGCATATATATATATAGCGCTTTCTGTTCTTTGAAAAGTGGTATGGTCATGTAATAAATTAGGATGTAGAAAATGGAAAATTCTAAACCTAATGTCAGCTGTGCTAAATAATTTCAGGTGAAAAAGAACTATGAAGCTCTCAAGCAAAGACAAGAAGAGGAAAGGATGGTTCAGAATTCTCCTCCAAGAAGTGGAGAAGACAATCAATCTGTCAATAAGTGGGAGAAAGAAAATCAGGAAACTACTAGAGAATTATTGAAAGTTAAAGATCGATTAATCGAAGTAGAAAGGAATGTAAGATGTGTTTTTAATGTTACTCTGATTTTACTTATATGTTGTGATCTGTTCCAGTAATATGAATGAGAGTATTGTGAAGAAAGTCTGCAATTTATCACCTAGTTTACGTACCAAGCAGTGTGTGAATTAAATACAGTTTATGAAGCAGCTGGATTCTGCACTGACAGATGCTGTAAAGCACTTGACCAGCATTTAAAAGGAAATGTGGAAACCTGAATTTGCCCTTTTTAAACCCACAGATATCTCTTAAATCCCTCTTGTGTAATCCTTATTTACATGAGTCATGGTGGTTTCTCTACTATTTCTCATAGGTACAATATTAATTACCCATTTCTTCCATTTTAACCCGTAGTGATAATATCACTGTGTGTTATTGGTTATATAGGGTGATTTTATAGTTTTGTTCCACCCTGGAAATCTCTGCGAAGTCACCCTGCTTCGTTTATTTTGGAGAAACAGGATTTTTTTTCTTGAAGTTCAGTAAACAGCTGTGAACTTAAATATTTTTATTTTTTTTAATGCTCAAAGAATGCTACACTGCAGGCAGAGAAGCAAGCACTGAAGACACAATTAAAGCAACTTGAGACACAGAATAGCAATCTGCAGGCTCAGATTCTTGCACTTCAGAGACAGACTGTTTCTCTACAGGAGCAAAATACAACTCTACAAACTCAAAATGCCAAGCTGCAGGTAATATTTTCCTATTTTGCTTTTAAAAATAAAATCATTTCAAAGGGTTTTTTCAAATAAAAACTTCAAAGCTAATGGCAATAATGTATTGTAAGTCACATTTCGCTTTTGGTACAGATGTGGAAAAGAAAGGAATGAGCAAATAATCTGCACTAAGAGCAGTCAAATAATACTGTGTTTGCTGATCAGTAATAACGTTTCTTCCTTCATGTTTATCCAATTTAAAGTCTTGACTTTATACTTAGGGGTAGAAGACTGGATAAAGAGAATCTATTCTAAGATTTTTTTTTTAAAGTTTCTTTTTTTTACTTCTAAATTAGGTCAGGGAAATAGTGTGTCCGAAGAGATTTAATTAATTACTAAATTAATACTAAATTTAGTATTTTGTCTATTTTTATAAATAGAGTTAAAAAAATAAAGTAAAAGCCATACCTAAGAGGAAAATCAAGAGGTTAGTAAGTACAGAAGACTTGAAGAAAAAAAACAACCAACCTTTGCAAAACTACATAAGTATGTGAAGATTGAATTCAGATAATTCGGAGGCAAAAAAAGTAATTTGTGACCACGGCAATTATAAAAGTGATTGCCTGCAGAGTCTTGCAGCTCTTAGGACCGAAATTCAGGTGTCATTTTTCATACTTTAACAGGGTTATTAAATACATATCTTTTTTTTTCCTCTTATAAATGAAATATTCTTGTTAACGGATCTCCTACCTTTTGGAGCTCTAAGAATCAAAACTACTCAAAGAGACAATACAAAGTCCACAATTCAGCAGAAATAGTAAACAACTTCAGAAATGATGGAGGGTGGATGGAAATTAAAGAGTGAAAGAGTCTTTAAATGAGTAAACAAGTAATGCATTTTGTGAATGCCTCAAGTTATCATCCTGTCTCTTTCTGGAAAGCAGAACACAGTTGTACCACAGATGCACTTTCGATCTACCACACTGAAATCTAATTAGCGCACAGTACTCCCCTTTGTGGCTGGCAAGTCTATCAACAAAACAGAACATTTGTGCACACACTGTGTCTCGTCTAGTCGTTAAAAATTGGTGGACGTGGGCATGGAAATAGACCATTTTAAACAGAGGAGGAATATCTCTGGGATTCAGAACTCTGAGTATTTTGTAATGCTATTTGTCAAAAAAACAGGAATATCTACATAGTTCCTTTTTTGCCTCATGAATTGCACAACAGCACAGGCCTTTCCTGTCTGATAAACATAGAGAGTGAATTAATTTGTAGATATTTGAAAGTATTGAGGCAGTGAGTTGGGAGGACGAAGTGTTTTCTGCCTTGAATTTTTTTTTTTATTTTTTTGTGGGGAACCTCACCAAGCAGTGTCATTTTTGTTGCTGGGGATGACTGAGTGATGTTATACCCAACAGCCTGAGAAAGGGAGTTCTCCTTCCTTGAGAATCCAGCTATTTTGCTCATAGCTTCAGGCAAGTTGCAAGACAGTGCTACATCAACTCTAAATCAAAATGAAAGGTGAAATATGTTCATGAAAATAAGAGCGATTAGCTAAATCTGAAGTGCAAACTAAGCTGATCTACATGGACTATGTCAAAACTGTTCTTAGTCAACTGTAATTCTACTACTCCTCCTGATACCCATAAGGAACATACAAGAGAAGGGGTATCTTAAAGGATCACTGGGAATTCTGAACTAAATCAAACTCGGGATTCAGCCAGGGAAGTTTCACAGCATACACATGCCATCAGACATTACTTCATTTCCAGTGAAAGGTTCAGCTTTCTCATCTGTAACAAAGAATGCTGCAGTCCCAACAGAAAGGGATTTGTTCCTTAGTAACAGTGTGCACTGGAGTGATAGATTTTCTTTTTTTTTTTTCCTTAATAGATACCCTGAGGGTATTAGAAGCCTCAGTAATTTGTGTTTTTTCATCTCTCGAATAGGAAAGAGAAGAAAACTAGCCTAATGCAGGTCAGATGACAAGCACGTTAGGTATCGTCAATTCTTTAACATATCCAAGGATTAGATTAGGTTAAGCTTTCCAGAGGCACACAAAGTAAAGTTGTTGTTTGGGGTTTTGTTTTTTATCTGGCTAAAGCTGAAGGCTTTAATGTATTAATAGACGTTAATACTATTCTGACATAATTGTTGGAGAAATCATACTCTTCTACAAGAAGAGCACTTTCCACCAGATCTCACAACACGCACATAAAGTGATCAACCGACGTTACTGTTGTGGGAAGAGAACTGTGAATGGCAGTTGCTCAGTAAAACAGAATATGGGTAATTCCTTCCAGGAGCTGCTATTTTATTTCCCTTTCTCTCTGTTAAATGGATGATAATGCTTGAAGTCTGGTTGTAAAGGATATGTGGGAACAATAAGGATTTTACAGTGACCATAGAGATTCTATACAATAAAGATTTAAAAAAAAAAAAAAAAATCCATGCCAATATCAAAGTTCCTTTTAGTCATGTCACAGATTTGGGTTCTGTGGTATGAGGGTCACCGGTGATCCGTTTCTCCAAGATATTTTGATATTAGAGCTGCCACTGCTGAGAGGAAAATGTCTCATCTAGAGAGGTAATGGAATAACTAGAAGGTTGCTAAGATGTTAGGGTTAAACTCAAGAAATCTTTCAATAGGAGATAGACAAGATAATCCAGACTATGAAATTAATTTGCAATTCTTGTCACATGCTTATGACTGCAGGTTGAAAATTCCACCCTTAATTCTCAAAGCACATCTCTAATGAATCAGAATGCACAACTGTTGATCCAGCAGTCTGCGTTAGAAAATGAGAATGAATGTATGCTCAAGGAACGTGAGGATCTGAAATCATTGTATGATTCACTTCTCAAAGATCATGAAAAACTGGAACACCTGCATGAACGCCAAGCGTCCGAGTATGAATCTCTGATTGCTAAACATGGAAGTCTTAAATCTGCGCACAAAAATCTGGAGGTGGAGCATAAGGACTTAGAAGATAGGTAAATACTAATATGCACAAGTAAAACGAGAGTCTGTGATTCCTCAGCAAAAGGCAAAAACCACTGTATATACTTAAGTATAACATTAACATCTTAAAACTTTGAAAGATCACCTTTTAAAAAAAAAATCCATATTTCCTTGTCATTAAAAAAAAAATTTAAATATTATTTTTGTTTACAGGTACAATCAGTTGCTGAAACAGAAAGTGCAGCTGGAAGAATTGGAGAAAGTACTCAAGGTAGAACAGGAGAAGATGCTGCAGCAAAATGAGAAACATGAAACTGTAGCAGCAGAGTATAAAAAACTTCGTGATGAAAATGACAGGTGAAGCAAAAGTCCGATATGTGTATTAGTACAAGTGTTGCGTGCTCTCACATTTCTTAATATCTGATGCTGCAATTCAGGATACTTACAATCCATACCTTATAGCAACTCCACTCCTTTGGTCTGCGATAGTTGTTTAAAAAAACCTGAACGGGGCAGGGAGACCAACAAAAAAACCCACGAAAAGTAATTGTTGTATCCTGAGGACACTGAATTCCACAGGAATGGCAGGCCAAGCACTGTGCAGTATGGTTGTGAGCTGTAGAGGGAGCAAACCACTCTGTGTGAGTCGCTTAAGGGGCAAGATAACTGAAGTTAATACCAGGAGTAGAAATGCAGTGGGTGGCAAAGCCCCACTTGACCCTTGCAATGGAGGTTTGCCGTAAGTAGTTGGGTTTAATTGTAGTATTTACATAGCATGATACTTCCCCCCCTCAAGAAGAGGCATTAAGATTTGTTCATCTGGCAAAGAGGCTCACAATTAAATGTCTCCTACCTTTGGTGGTGTGTGAGGAGGATTAGTAGGAACAGGAAGTTGTTTTTAGAAAGGGACGTGGCAGGGCCCAGTAGGGACAAAGGGAGCCCAAGAGTCATTCTGTGCAACCATGGTTGCCAAAGTTGGGACCATTCCTGTTTCCTTACTATTTTGTGTTGGCAAGAAGTTCTAGCTCTTTTGTAAGATTCTTGTATTTTGAAAAGTGGCATCTTAAAATCAGTGGTGATGTCCGTGTTTAGAAATACTGCTTTATTTTTAAATATGTGGAGAATCTGGAGTATTTGGCTTAAAGGCAGAATGCATTCCTAAGAAAATTAAATTAAGAGATAATGTGATACTAAGACGTTTTTATATGTATTCTATGGAGTAGTATAGAGCCCTGGAAATTTCATGCATCAGAGGGAATGTGGGTCATGAATACATTTCCTTCTATCTGCATGTATTCTTTTATGGTGTCTTTTAATTCCAGGCTTACTCACACATACAGTCAGCTCTTGAGAGAGAATGAAGTTCTCCAGACTGATCATAAGAATTTGAAAACATTATTGAACAATTCCAAACTAGAACAAACACGATTAGAAGCTGAGTTTTCAAAACTCAGGGAACAGTACCAGCAACTGGATATTACATCTACGAAACTAAATAATCAGTGTGAGGTATGTAAGAAGTATGCAATTTTTCATGACTGGTATCGTTGTAATATCATTGTAAATGTATTTGTAGATTCATAAAATCGTATGAAGTGCTTGAGACTTAGTCATTTGATTTATAGCTAATGAAGTTGATCTGGAGACAAATTAATTTGCTGCTTGTACAGGCAGTACAAAAATTGGGGCTCGTGTTAGGTAAACTGTTTTATTTAAAGCATCAAAGAGGCTTTTATCAGTTGAGTCATGATTTAGTTAAGTTTTCTGTTTGATTTGACTGTCAGAATCCTTTGTAGACCTAAATTTTCTTGATAATTTAATTATCTGTGTGTAAAATATGCTCACGTATATATATGCATGTACCATTTCATATATTTTAACAGCTGCTTAGCCAGCTTAAAGGAAATCTGGAGGAGGAAAACAGACATCTACTAGATCAAATTCAGACATTAATGCTACAGAATAGAACATTACTTGAGCAGAATATGGAAAGCAAGGATCTCTTCCATGTAGAGCAAAGGCAGTACATGTGAGTTTTTAAAACAATGAAATTACTGTGATTAGGGCAGTTATGCTAATACCTATATTTATTTTTTAAAAAAAAACTTCTGTTTTATGTAGAAATTAACGTGTGTGCTACTTCTGAAATGTTTCTCTTATTAAAATGTCGATTATATACGAAAAGCAGATAACTCAAACTACAAACATTAGTTTTTTAGTTCTAAAGGATCAGTGCAACTGTGTTCATTACTGATGATGCAACTGAGGAATAAAAGTGTTATTTGTTCCTCATTCCACTACAAGCAAAGTTTCTAGGTTGATTTGTAATCTGTAAACTTCTGTAAAGAAGTTTACAGATTTGAGAGAAGAGAAAATGTGCTTGTCTAAATGATTCTGTTAGAGTCTATGTGCACTTTATTATTATTTAAAAAGGGGGAAATTCTGTTGTGTAATAAAGACAAAGTTTTTTAAATTTTATAATGTTAAATGTAAGACTGCTTGTTTGCTGTATCTTTCTTGATCTTTCAATAAGAAAAAAGTGTTATATAAGAATTCCTCATGCAAAGTGGCAGCTTTCAGATGACAGATATCCAGAGAAATGTGCTACTCGCCCATTATATATACAATTTTGAAGCATACAGTATCATTAATTTCTGTTTACAGTGACAAGCGTAATAAAGGCAAAGTTTTTTAAATTTTATAATGTTAAACGTAAGACTGCTTGTTTGCTGTATCTCTTTCTTGATCTTTCAATAAGAAAAAAGTGCTATATAAGAATTCCTCATGCAAAGTGGCAGCTTTCAGATGACGGATATCCAGAGAAATGTGCTACTCGCCCATTATATATACAATTTTGAAGCATACAGTATCATTAATTTCTGTTTACAGTGACAAGCTAAATGAATTAAGGCGACAGAAGGAGAAATTGGAGGAGAAGATAATGGATCAGTATAAATTTTATGAACCGTCACCACCAAGAAGGTACTGATGAATGTGATATAAAAATAAACACAAGTCTAAACCATGATATACCTATTCTGTTCCAGCTGAAAATCCAGATTTCATTCAACTTCAGGGGAGCAAAATCATGTCTGTGTTCTTGCATACAAATTAGGAAAAATGTGAAGGCACAAGTCATGTATTATAAATGTAATAAATGTACTGTATTATTGATAACAGAAGGGGCAACTGGATTACTCTGAAAATGAGGAAGCTGATAAAATCAAAGAAGGATGTTAATCGAGAACGTTTGAAGTCTGTGACCCTTACGCCTACCCGTTCAGAATCCAGCGAAGGATTTCTTCAGCTGCCCCACCAGGACAGTCAGGATAGTTCCTCTGTGGGCTCAAACTCTCTGGAAGATGGCCAAACCTTGGGGACCAAAAAGAGTAGTAGTGAGTACTGCAAAACATTTATTTTCTTTTGGTAATCCTTGGCTAAATGTCTTTTTAATACCATTAAAAAGTAAGAGGTGCTCAGAAAAGGCTGCATGTTTTGGAGGATTTTTTTAAGATAACATTTAAAGTCTTTAGGAACGAAGCCTGGATTAATTTCTTAATGACAGATTAATACTGACTTCTTGCAAACTCCTTGAGTGTTTGGGTAGAAACTAGTTTTTAGCATTTCTGTAGCTCGAAATGTTAAAATACTTTTACAGCGCCTGGATAAGCTGAAGCAGGCGCTGTTACTGGGTCAGAATACATGTGTTTAACATTCACTTAAAATTTTTTCAATACTTTTTAAAAATGTAATGTCTTGGGTTTCAAAAGACAGCAGATTGATATTCTGGGTTTTGTGCCAGCTATGAATTTGCTGTGTTAGAAATTATTAAAGCCACTATAATGTGTTTGGTTTTTTTCTTTGCTTATTGCAGAAGCTTAGTCAAAGTTAAAAACATGTAAAACTCTTTTTCAGGGAAACTTAAAAACAGATTTGTGAGTATTTTTTTAATAACTGAAGAAAGTAATGTGTTCCTTGCTAACTTGTCAATTTGGGAAACTTTTGAGTGTAAGGGTCTGTTAAGGTTCAAAACGGGTACTTTTCGACTTTTTTAAAAAGGCAACCGTTGTTTTTACATATAAACTGGAAGTCTCATGGAGTCCAGGGGTGACTGAAGCTACAGTGGATGTGTTTGAAAGTGTGTTAGTTTGTCAAGAGTGTGCACGCTTTGGTTCAGACCATCTGCATCTGTGTCAACGATTTCATGTTCGGCAAGGGCTCTTTTATGTGACAGTTTTCTTTGCATGATACTTGGGACCTTGTAGCGTGCAGTTACCCTCCTGGTGAAGCCATGGTTGAAGTTATGGTGGCTGATCCTCAAAAGAGGTTTGAAGTTGTTCAGACCTCATTAATTTTCTACTCCATGGACCTTGTTCATGTTCCCCTTAATCCCAGTGTATTTATCCACAAACTGGAAGGGCTGATCTAATTCTGAATCCTAACCTTCCTCCTTTACATATGTCACCATGGAAACCACAGTTTATGATGGAGTTTGGAAGAATTATATGCCACTTCAGTGCTGACAATCTTACTAAGACAGTTTGTGCCTCACAAAGTTAAGAGAATATCTATCGCAGTGTGAGAAGTGCCAGTGATGGTGCATGTTTTGCAGTCTATTTCTTCTGCTTTTAGAATGACTGTAAATCCTAAATACCAAGATACTGTGGCCTCTTTCTTTTCTTTAAGAAGTGGCTTGGCAGTAGCAGCTTCCACTGAAAGAAGCTACAAGAAAGACAAAACCTGTAAGTTGTCACCTGTCTATGCAAATGCTCAGGTATTGTAGCTTTCCACCCTGGTCGAAGGCAGTTTTGAGTTTTGGAAGAAACAGGTTCTATTCCACCTTGATCTCCTGTGTCTGGGAACGGCGGTGGTTCCAGAGGGAGCCACTGAAGTGAAATGTCCTGCCTGTCCTTCAGTAGGCAAGAGAAGGCAGCTTATAGTCCCCAAGGTGCAGTTTACTAGTACAAATTGGTGGTGTTCTCAAAAGCTAGAGGACAGAATATCTGACATAAAGTGATTTTTGAGATATATAGGTTTCCTACCCCATATCCCCTGCCAGAGAAAGTGAGAGGAGATACTGATTCCAAAAGGAATTATCCTGCAGCTACTACTGCTGATAAACAGATTCACTCTGTGAAATATGTAGATTTTCTTCCTTTGAAGGTGGTGATGGAGGCTGTTTTCTTAATACAGGACGCTTTCTCGTGCAAGTATTTTCGAGACACCTATTCTCTTACAAAGATAGGTGATCTTGGCGCAAAAATCAAGTGACCCTGTTGTGCAGAGAGGTCTCAGTGCTTGAAGCCCTGGTCTGATTCCATAGGTCCTCTGGAAAGGAGGGGGTGCCTGCATGGCTGTTACTGTGTGCAGCACAATTAAATCCTGCAGGCAGTGTGGATGCTGTATGCTCCTCTGACAGCAAAGTCTCCCCTTGCTTTTTATAGCTGTGTTCAGTGGATGAATCAGGTGAGTACCACAGATCCGACAGCTGCTTTGTGCAGAGCCTGCTTTCTTGGGGGAAGGGGAGGGGGGTGGGGGGTGGGATACCATTCTGAGCTTTTGCAGAGAAAACCTAAGGCAGGCAAGTGGAAATTTTGTATTTTATGTGGAGAAAACTAGATTACTTTTGCTAGCTTCCACTTTAGATTATCAACAACATCCCGAGGAATTAAGGCTGTTAATAAGCCTGTCATCTTTAAATAGTAGTACCAGTAGCAGACACATCATACAGAAGTAAAAGTGGTATATTGGGCTCCATTTTCTATTACCAAAATATTTAGAAGATGGCTGCTTAACATTTTCTTGTGTGTATGAAGAAAATTATTTGAGGATTTTAATACTATCCATACAGAATTCCCCAGAGTATCTCTGGCAAACAGTGGGAGGATTCCAAAACGGGAGATTTCCTGATCAGTGGAGGAATTCTGCAATACTCAGCATTCATTCTCAGCTCAGAAAGCAAGAACTTGTTCATAGAAGACTGAAAAGAGAAAGAAAAGTTAATGAAGTATAACTAGACTTCTCTGAGTAGATGATTAGTAAGACCAAAACAGTCCTCCTACCATCCCATTTTTAAAGTCTGTTGGAGTAAATGTGTAAAGAGCAAAAGCTCTAAGCTAAACTTTGTGGTGTCCTGTTTGTTTCTTCTGTAGCTCTACCGTATTCTATGCAGAAATTACTTACGTAGTCTCTCAGGGAGGTTGCGGTTTACCAAAGAACAGGTTTTGATGTACGATTTCCAGGACATCGGTAGTTGCAGTGGAGTTTTCTGTTTGGTGCAGTTGCTGAGAGCCATAAATCAGTCATTTTGGAGGTCATCTGTGTTAACGAACAAGAGTCACAGATGACTCAATTCTTGAACCACCCTCTGGTTACTTTTTAATAAGATTAGAGTGGACACTTTTAATTAAGAGGGATCGGTTATCTTGTCTATAAAGGATTATAGAGGGATCAGTTGTCTATAAAGGATTATAGAAGTTAACAAAAGAATTGTGTTTCACCATGATGACGAAAAGTAGTAGAAATAGAACAGAATTATCTCTTTGGTTTGACATTAGTGTTAAAACTGGTTAGTTATTTACCTGCTAGAAACTAGTCTGATGCTGTGCCTCATACTCCTTTGGCAGGGAGCTTTTCAGAGCTACGTACTTTTATGTACAACTAGATAGACAATGTGCGTATATCCTTTACGGGAGGTTTAGTGACCTTTCTGCTTCTTTTGAGCCAGTTTATGTTGGTTTTGGTTTATTTCCTCAGGATCTACAAGAGGAGGAATGTTTTGTTGATCCAAAAAAAAAAAAACCCCAAACAAAACCCCCCTGTTTTAAGTACCTATATGTACATAATAAAAAATACCTATATACCTATGTAGTGAATCATTCAAAGCTGAAATTTTACTTGGTGTAGTCCTGCCTTACATAGGTAGCACAGGTGGCTTTCTTTTCTCCCTGTTCTTCCCCACCCCACATCATAAGGACCTGACACAGGAGGGTGTTTGCTGTCCCTCTCTGGTCAAGATAGAGTTATATGCTGCAACTGTGAAAACTTCTGGTTTTTTCTGACACTTGTGGCTGTGCCAGTCATGCATTCATTGGAAGCTGTAAAATGTACTGCCTTGTAAACCTCTTACTCTAAGTGCAAACACAGAATAATGTGATGGAGAGGGAGATTTCTTTCTCTTTCAAGGTAGTTCAAGTGCACTTGTAAATGCATATGTATGTATGTACTGCTGTGCTGGTTGAGCGGAAGACCAAGGTAAATGACAAATCACGTGTCTGAAAAGTGACTTCAGAGACATAAAATAAGCAGATCTTGGGCTGATAGACTGGACTACACGGCTTTCATACCTACATAAATAAGAACATTGTGGGAATTTCCTTATGCATTCCTTTCTGGATCTTTACATGCCAGTTGTTTGCATGTGGCTCCTGTATGCTTGGCAGTCAGCTGACACATTTATCTGATGCTTCAAAAGGCAGGTGTCTGCCAGTAATCAGTTACTAATGCCAAAGAGCTAAATCTAAGGACCAGATTAACTTGTGATTTCCCCCTCCTCCATCTTTTAATACTATTTATAATTTTAACTCTGTTTCCTGATATTACGTACCTCAGTTTTTCTCTTTGCTCTCCCAAAATGTTACAGTCACACTCGTGTCTGGATTTTCTTTTGGTGGTGGTTTTTTTTT